GTCTGGTATCGTTTCTGATGATCAAAGCACTGCGTGCTGCAGCTGAAGCTCTGGTAATGCCATTCCGTTATCAACATCATTATCATCATCACGGCTAATCAGAATTATAAGCAACATATCATTCGAGTGCAACGTCACATAGGCTCAAAACGCTCTCCAGAAACTGGGATGAAAAAATATTTTTTGCTGTAATTATTAAACGCGTTCCATTATGACCACATAAACAATGGAATTCCAATCAGCGACTTTGTAGCTTGCTTTAACGACATTCGCTGTAAATTATTTTCCAACATTTAGCATTCATGTGACAAAAAACTGTCAGTCGAGCGACTTATGCTTTTATTTAAAAAAAAGGATAGTTGCAGCCAACAATTCTCGTCTTACGGCCTTTACTAACCGTGCTGTTGAACAGATATCTTACTGGCCATGCTAAATTCATAATAGAAAATTGGGAAATCCTCAAGTTTTAGAAGGAGTAAAAAAGAATAAATGAGCGACAAATGGCTATTTAAAAAAAACATTTTAATGAAAAAAAAACTATCATCCCTCCCATTCTGAACGTTACCGACTTTCAAATTAAGCAAAATTCCTATTTTTATGCTCCTAATAAATCATTTTTCATTACTGCTTTCTTAACAGCGGTATGCACTATACGAACAATACAGATCCTCTTCTCGGTATGTTCGCAACCGCTAAAGGTAGTACGCACACTGCCAGCTGTTTTACCTTCCCCGTCGGTCAATCCCAAACCACGCGGGAGCACAGAATCCGAATTTATGGAAGTTTAGCAGCGTTCATGGTAAATCACTAACGGATTTTCGCCAAAAACTTACTGATGTATGCGCATTTTCGAAATTCGGTTTCTGCTGCATTATTATGGAGTGATTTTTTATTTAGTTGCTTCTTTAGCGTATTTCGTGACAAAGTCAAAAAAGAAGGGACAGGATAACAAAGAAACGCCAGAACGAGAACGAATTGTTGACAAGAAATCGAAAGAAATTGAAATGTTGACAGGAAGTCAATTATCCTGCACACTAAACTTGCCCGTGCGTCATGCGTTTTTGCAAGGATTCGTGCAGCAATAGGATTATTGGCTGCATGAATAATCGTTGTTGTACAATTTGATACGTGAAACCATGTTGGAAATGTTCTTGTTGGTCATTTCTTGCACTTCGGGATGCAGATACCTCAATTGAGCCGGCAGTGTTGCACTGTAGAAACTCGCAATTTTCTAACGTGTTGGATTACGTGGAAAGAGGATGCTGACAATTTTACAAATGGGACTTTGAGCTGTCTGCACATAAGGTGTGGGCATTTCTAAAATCTCATTTTGTGCTTGCTGGATAGCACGTTGACGACAAGTCGTCCGCAAAAGTACAGAATTTTCTACTCGGTCTAAAATCTCGAGCTAGAAAGCCATCAATTTTGTGTCCTGAAGTTTATCATTTCCGAAAATAAGTCGCAAATGTATGTGAAAACAGATTCTGCGCTGTTATGCCGTACAGGAACAGAACGCGTTCTTGTAAATATATATCTTCCAGCATGTTTGGTTCTCAAGAAAAAAGGATACCAGTGACTTTGCAAATTAAATTTTGACATGTTTGAGCGTGTAACACTAGCACACGCGAAAACTGATTTTGTTTTTATTGGCTCGCAAATAGCAAATATTTTTGTAAAAATGCATCTTTCTGCTTAACTAGGCTCTTCAGCTGACATGGTATCAATAGTCTCGACTTGAACTTTGATGTATCCTTAAATGTGTGGTAGGTAATAAACGAATTTAAAATCTATATGCGGTACCTAAATAGAAAGTATCCTCAAGAAACCTCATCTTCCTATCTTTCTTGGCCCCGAAACCGTTTGCTTGCCAAAGCTTTTTCACATTTTCTTTTAGGCTTATATGTGTGAAGCGCTGATGTATATAAGAGTCAAATTTAAGTTTATGGGACTGCGCATGGAAATATTTTTGCAGAATTTCGGCTCCCGAGTTTCTCTGGATGCTGAGTAGAAAATAACTGACAAAGTGCGCGCAATGGCCGACAACCCTTCATCAATGCGTGCTTTTGCGTGCATCAAAAATACAGAAACACAACAAAAAAAAAATGAAACGTTAGAAATACGCGTAATTTAGCGTTTTTATTGTATTACTGCAAAAGACAAAAACACTACAGATCACAACAAGTGATAGATCAATAAAACGCATTACTAAAATTTAGTGCGGTAAACCGATGTGTGCTGCATGTGTTCTGGCTTCCGCTTCGAATTTTTTGGCAACTTCTTTCCAAGCATGCTTCGTCTGTTCATCCAGTGTCATTTTTGTTCCAAGGAAATTTTCCCACATAACCCAGAAATCCTGGAGATTAAGAAAGGAAATGCAAGTTGTATGGCGGACAGTTCTGAAATTGCAGTTTTAACATGCATTTAAAAAAGAGAAAGGTAATAGCTTACCTCCCACGCTTTGAATTCTAACATAATGTTATCCCTCTTGTGCTGATTCAAAACTTCACGGATGTACGCTCTAAACGCTGGTTCCACATCGTATGTCGATCCAAGTATATGCACTGCTACCAGAATTCTCTGTCCTACAAATATTATTGTTCACCACATTTGTATTCATCTGAAGGTAAATAATGATATGCTTTCACGAAGCTACGAAAAACGTTTTCCACTATAAAACTGCCAGTCTGCCGGAATAACTTTAAACGTGTAGCTAAACAAGTCCTTCCGCCTTGAGCTGCATATATTAATGATGCACTTGTTGCTAAAACCACCTTCTCATCTCATCACTCCAAAGGCTATTCGACCGCTCTTCTC